TAAAATAACAATTGGAGCATTCTAGAGAATTTTTCTTCGCAGCATCTTTCGAATCGATCGCATGAGCAATGGATTCCGATGATAATGGAACCACAAACTGTATGATCTCTACGGCGACATGTTTATAGTTAAGCGCTGTTTAGACCATGTCGTTCCCATGGAAGATGATGTTCCAGCGAAAAGCTCCTTCCGACTCCTACTTGAAATTCTTGGGAGGACAACGGAAGCAAGGCCGCCCACACATCTAATGGAAGGACGAAGTGCATGTCTGTACTTCGGATGGACAACTGGCATGACCTTGCAAAGGATAGAGGCAACTGTTGAAGTTTCATATTATAGGCGACCCACAATTGTAGTGCCAAGAAAAAAGTTCGAAGCAGCAAAAAATTAAATCTAGTTGCCTAGGAATAAAATCTTGAAGTCTAAGAACATTCAGTGAGCTTTCAGTTAATTATACATATATAGATACTAAGGGTCTAGAATAGGAAAGTTGTCAAAGTTGACTGAGTAGTGAGTTTTGAAATACATAAAAGGGGATAGAGAGAAAAATATATAAGTTTAAATATGAGAGTTTACTCTACAAAAAGCAATTAGTTCATAAATTTGTTCGAGTAAAACTCAAAAAATTCTAAAAAATCACTAATACCCTTACATTTATCCTTAGCACATACCTCTTTTCTTCCATTATTGCCTTTGCTTTTAATTCTTTTTCTCTCTTTAATTTATTTTTATTTCTGTCTTATTATAATCCTCTTTCTCTCTTTATTTTGCAGTGCGTAGTGACATCTGGATTTGTTGTTATTATTTACTTAGCCTCGGTGGTGTTCTCGCTAGCTTTCGAAATGCCCTACTGCAATTGGTCTAGCTTGATACTTAAAGGTGGCCGCAGCAAGCCGAAACGCCTATAACTATAATATTAATTGCTGAGCTTCAGTTTTAAATCGTGGATTTTGTATATATGTTTTTGGCTATTGTATGGACGTTGTTATTGTGGATGCGGCATATACACGAAGAGTGTTGTATAGTATATGCTTTGTGTTTTTGTTTTCGAATACCCTGTCTCCTTGAATTGCCTTGGGCCACTTAATTTAGTCTCGTTTATAATTTCATATTTAATTCATTGTGATCATAATCCATCCAATTGGGTAGTTATATAAGATATTGATATTGTACATATATCATTTATATATATACATATATATGTATAGTAGTATGTATGGTATATGTGTATAAGCTTAATTTACATGGAATAGTTTTAAAATGACGCCTTTAAAGCATAAAATAAAWAATAATTAAAATTTGCTCCTCTCATTGAGCGCTGCAAATGACATACATACATATTAATGTAGGTATACCTGTATATACTTCTTATATTCTCCTATAATTTGATGCAAAAAATGCAGTTATAAAATTTTTGCAATTTTTTTTTTTTTCAAATATTTGTTTTCCAAAATTTTATCTTATAACCGAAAATAGGCTTATGTTAAGTTTACTCCGTAGAAGGAGTAGCATTTTTGCGGTATGTAAGTAATAAAAGGCAAATATATGTATGTATATATATGTATAAATATATTGCAAAATGGTGATTTATAATACAATAAATATAAATTTGTAAATGCGTTGTAAGTTTTTTTTTTAATTGGGAGTAAGGCGACCACTGTATTTATTCCAGAGTTAAACACCCGCTATTTTACCGTATCGTGAAAAGTTCCAAACAATTTCTTAAAATGGGAAAAAGCATACGTTATACCGCTCACACGACTATGTAGTTGCTCCAACTGAAGTTCTTCCTTCCAAAAATCATGGAAATTATAATTATATCCATCGGTACTACCAAATTAAATTTCTCTTCACTTGACAAGGCAACGCAGAACCAATCAGATTTTCAGGACTTGGGCTCCAGTGGAAAAAGTTAACGTGTGAGTGGTGGTGATTTTTTCTTTACATTTAATATTTTAAAATATTGAGCATTCCTTATCGCCGCTTGAATATTAGACAAAAAATTGTATGTAACTTTTCGACCCGTGTCAACTTTTGACTCCTCTAGTTTTTGTGAGATGTCATGTAGAATCGCGTCTCACTCTTTTACTATATGTCGTTTCGTAGAATTTATCGAAATATTTTTACTTTCTAAGGCCAGACCTCTTTTTCAGGTAAAACCAAAGTTTCTTGATACGGCATAGATCTTTGCTGCAACAAGGACAGTCAAAAACAGTCATTAAAGTGTCGTGAAACCACCGCTTAGTGCCTCGAGCTGAGTGTTAGTGTTAATAAAAACTACTAAATATTGGACCTATTTAATAAACACTTAGTTCTTTTCTTACTACATTTTGTCCATATCTTTGCATTTTGTTGTCGATTTCTATCTGCTTCTGAGTTCAAATTGCGTTGAACTCTCTCTTGATCGTACCTAGTGCGCACGGTTTCCGCTTTAGAATCATCTAGAGAGGCTCTTAACTTGACCAACTCGTCTGCTTTTTCGCTGACGAAAATGCTCCTGTAAAGTGGGATCTCAAAGTGGAGTTATTCAGTGGAGCTCCGCAGGCCTTCTTTATGCTTAGTACCTTCACTTGGAAAATGTTAGCTAAGTTTGGTAGATGATGGAAAGAGCTTTCAAAATCTTCGGAGTAAACCCAGTTTCTACTCCGGTATAGATTAAGATCACGTCTGGAAGTTATGGAAGCCAAATAAGAAAGTTTTCCATACAAGGACTTGAGTGTGATCGATCAGCTTGTATGGCAGCTCATATATCATATAGTGCCGAAATCGGTGGTTTGGACAAATGAACTACTTTTTGAGAGGCTACATAGTTCTCGGATATACAGAGAACTATGCCCTATATGTTGCCACTGCGATTAAACCATTCACAAAATATGCGGGTCAACTTTTACAACACAACTCTAACTCTTAAAATTGTAATGGGTCATTAAACTCTGTTGTGGTGTTTCGAAAATGTAAAAAATTTATATTATTTTATATACATATTTCCAAAGGCGTGGCAACCATGATACGATCGGCGGTTCTTGAACTAGATCGAGTGCGTACAGCGCCATCTGTGTGTGAGTTTTTTAAACGATATCTACTGTGCTACCACATTATTTAAATATTTACTGTTGCACTAATGGGAACTTTTTATTTTATTTATGATTTATTTTAACATTTCTTGCATTTTCCGCTAACAAGGAGACATGGAGCGATTAAAGAACGGCAAAGTTAAGAAGCTAACGTTTTTCTAGTCAGGTATGGTGGCGATTGTTCCAGCGCGAATAGCTTGGTTTACGAATAATCTACAATCCAAATATTTTGGAATCGTATTAAATATAGTAAAACGTTTTCTTCTCCCGTTCGTCAGCTAATAGACTTTCCATATCATCTTATCCATTCAATTTACATACAAACATACTTATATAGAGTGGCTGATGAAAACATTCATGCCTTTACCACGACTATCGGATCTGTATATGTAACCGACATGAACGCGGATTTATGTTACATCTCGCCAAGACTGTGAACTCTGAGCTTCATAGGGCAGCATTATTAGGGATTTTTGTGCTATTAGAGAAGTGATAGAAACGTTCGATAAAACAGCTAAATTTGCTTTCAAGCGAAACCAATTAATTGAGCAAATGGGAGTATTTGAACTATTTTTCACATGTGAAAGAGATTTCAGACAAGGTGACTCCGTATCGTGTGACTTCATCAATCTATTACTTGAGAAATAGATAAATAGAGAAAGTACAATCTTCTATATATATCCGCGCCGTTGGTATTGCTTTCTTTGTCATTAAACAAATAGTCGTCACATATGTATGGGACTTGGCTCCCACGTCACTGTTGACAGACATTTTTTTTTTTTTTTTTTTTTTTTTTTTTTTTTTTTTTTTTTTTTTTTTTTTTTTTTTTTTTTTGAAATACCTCTTTTTTTTAAGACATAGAATAAGTTATAAAATCCTAAATCTTTTAAAAAATTAACATGTTCAAGCAAGTGATTGAGCTGTTTTGGTAATACAGCCGTTGCTCCTTAGTACAAAGGCATATCTCTTCTTTCAAGGCGTGTCCAATCATTCCCGAACTGCTATATGTTGCGGAGGCATGAACAAAGACATTCTCTGATGCGTCGGTCTTAGGAGTGTTCGAAAGAAAAATTTCGCGGAAGATTTAAGGTCCTTAAATGACGAGCTGTGCTAGATATACGGCGACATTGACATATGTAGTTCAGCGAATGAAGAGACAGCGGCTACGCTGGCTAAGAAAGCAAAGGAAGAGGAAAGCCTCCTCCGTTGGAAAGTTCAGGTAGAGAAAAACTTGACTACACTTGGAGTATCCAATTGGCGCAAACAGCGAAAAGGAAGAAGGACTGGCGCGCTGTTGTGAACTCGGCTATATGCACCAATAAAGCAGAAGAAGTATTAGAAAAATGTCGCGTATGGGATAGACATTCCATGCTGGATACATTGTTTAATGCTACGAATTATTATACTAGCTTTTTTAGAACTTTATTTGCATTAATATTATATGTCAAGCTATAAAAACTGTTTTTTTTTTTCAGAAAAGAAGTTGTTCATCAACAAATAAACGCTAAATTTTAAACCTAAAAAAAATTCTTCTTGAACCGAGTGCTACGAGACCCGAGGACGTTTTGAACCCTCTTCGATCGGACAGCATGATGAGGCGCATCTCAAATATGCGAAGAAATTCGGCTTGGTTGGATGTATGAAAAGGTCATCAGTGGATCGTAAGAACAAAATCCGAACTTGTGACCTTCAACAAAGTAAATAATTAACTAAAATATATTTCAATAGGTTTTGATCGCATTAATTTTTTTATTTAGTAATTTTATAACTTTCCATATATATATGTATTTACAACAATTTTTCTAACAAACGGCATAATTGTATAAAACGTACTGTCTTGAACCTTTTCGACTCAGCTCTTGAAAATTTCGACCACTGGGGGCAAATGCATAGCTTACAAATATGTTTCGAATTGGTTTTGTCGGCATTTACAAAAACTAAAATATATAAAATTCATCTGCTTTGCAGACTTACTAAATGCACTTCTTAAGTAGATAAATATTCTAAAACAAAAAATTAAAACATTTCCAACTCAGGAAGTTCGTATTGTTCTGCAACATCCGCGCGGATGTCGATTTGTTTCTTTTGAACCGCTCTTTGGTATTTCGAGTGATAAATGTCGTACGCTAAGAGAGTGTGTTTGTGGCTTATGAGAGTGGCACCTCCTCCATGGCGCGCAATTTGTTGTTGACCTTCTCCTCAACAACTTCGCGTCTGAAGATCACCTTATAGACGATAGCACACACCGCTGAGCCGGCTAGTGGACCAACCCAGTATACCCAGTGATCCTGAAAGTCTGAATTCCACAGAGCAGGAGCGAAAGATCTAGCTGGATTCATGCTGGCGCCAGTGAATTGACCCTAAAGCATGAGAAAAATATATTAATTTTTGGTATATACAAATAGAATATTAATCTATTACCGCTGTGATGGCAAGACAAGCGATGGCCAAACCGAAACGAATTGGCACTGAGTCATGGAATTTAGCATTACGTGGGTCCCAGACACCGCAGCAGGTCAAAATCAACACACCGGTGATGATAAACTCAATAGCGCAGCCCTGCCAGGCGTTAATGTCGCCATGCACAGTGGTAACGCAGAGATTGTGTGGTCCGTCCAATGAGACGGCATTCTGTGGTATGAGCGCCTTCAGCAGACCGTAACCAATGAAACCGCCCAACATTTGTCCGACAAAATAGATAGCAGCCATTGGCAATGAAACCAAATTGTATATGTAGGCAGCCAAGGTTACGGCCGGATTCAGATGTGCACCGGAGACACAGCCGAAACATTGGATTATCACCAAGACGACCAAACCGAAGTTAAAAGTCATTTGGTAGTGATTATTTTCGTAGGCAGCATTCTTTACGCACCCCATACAGCCGAGAAAGACCAGCAGTCCGGTGCCGATGAGTTCGCCGAGGAAGCTGCAGATTTTATCCAACGTACTGTTCTTCATTTTCAATTTGTCAAGGCAACTGAAAGACGGAAAAGAAAAGTGGATTATTAAAATGTCGAACAGGTTAAACAGTTTATTTTGGTATAATTCACAGAGAAATTTTAAAGTATTGGCACTTGCTCGCTTTATTAAAAATCATATGTCTAATGCAGATACGATAAGTGTCCAGAGGAGAATTAAAGTTAGAGCTTCAACACTCAAGATTAGAAAATAACTTTTTCAATACCTAAATAATATTAAGAAAACCTTTCAAAACATCCAGCAACCAACATCTTTTAAAGCAGATGTGTCTATACAAGATGTTTTGATACTTGTAAAAGTAATCAAGATCACGGTAGTAATGGTCTGCCATGTTCCCTTCACTTGCCAGTAACCGAACCTCTTGGCTTTCTTACATTTAGTGAGACGAAATTGGTCGATCACTCTTTGAGGAAACAATTGAAGGCCGTTTTCTTAACGAATAGACGCTTGTGGACTTCCAAATCGACATAGATCCATGTGATCGGATTATTTTCCGAACCAATCAGACTTAAATACAATTGTTGGGCTTCAAACGAAACATGTTTATCCGATTTGAATATCGCTTAGTTGCAGTGACTACTATCCAACCAATTATTTATAATCCTGGCAAAAAGGGACTACATTTCGAAATGTCTTCCAAGAAAGAATTGCTTTGCTCAAAAGTTCCTATGTATTGATAATATTTTTATTTTTTTGCAAACAACACTCGATAAGTCAATTTCTACATATATCGGGCTCAGCTTTTCACGAAATTCGTATTGGTATGTTCTCCTTTAACACATTAAACTTGCCAAAAAGAGCCGATTAAAACAAAATGAGGCATTTAGAATATTATTGAGCTCTAGTAGCTCCTGTTGAATCGCTGGTCACACCTTGAAATAAAATACTCTCCTGAACCTGCCAGATGCTTTTTATAGGGATCTTTGTTAACAGATCTCAGATATTTGAGATTTCATCGAAGAATAATTTTATAAATCAACGGAACAATATACTTGATATCAACTTTACAGCACGTAAACACAAAACAAAAAGTTTGCGTTTCTTTTTTCAAACACTAAAACCCTTTCCGAGTCCATTGGGATACCAAGCGCACACAACACACCTTTTGGTAGACGGATTGGAATTCGGCACAGTTGTCGGATCAGGCACGGATACAACGGTCATATTAATTTACCCCTGTTTAATTGGAAACGTGCACGTCCTTATCGAACGGAATCAAACCTCGTACTGCACAATAAGGTTCTAGAATATAATAATTTTATTTAACTCCACTTAGCTTAAACCCAAAATAATATATGTATATATATATAAATATGTATATTACATATATTTCTGAAGTACTTCAAATGTTAAGTAATGCGTCTTGTTCTTTCTCGATTTCCATGCTTAAGTAGATATAATCTCTCCATTGTCGTTAGAAGTGTCAAAGTGAAGTGCGACCACTTATGGGCGCGTACCTTCAAAATTCCTTAACTAAACTGCGTTTTAAAACAACAGTATTGACAGCTAAAAAAATTAAGATTATATTCATAAACAAAGTAACTAAAACAAAGTGTGTCTACGTAGGTTCCTACTCTGCTCCACTGCTCTTGTGAATTCTAAGAGTTGGCATTTGGGTTGTCCATACTTCAAAATTTCGATCAGCGAGCTACTTGATACTTAGATAAAAGTAAGGCCCAATGTTATTGAACGATTCGACCTGTTGAATGGAGTATAGTGTAGTGGAGTAATGGAGATATAGTAAGTATATACAGTCTAGCCTGACAGCTTTGTCTCTATCGGACCAAATTCTACACATGCATCAACTCTACTCCGTAAACCTTGAACTGTTTGGACGAATATCCTTCAACATTATAGTTCTTCAGATATTGCTACACCAAGTTTCTTTACAAGTTCAGCATTATTATTGTTTGCAAATTCACATTACGTCCACGACCGCTGTTCCTATGGTCCAAGTGAGTTCTCCGATGTGGGGTTCAGCCCGAAGACTTAGCTTAACGGAACCAAATGTTCATTTCGATTGCATATGAGTGTAATCTCCGTTTCCAAAGAACCTCCCATACAATATGAATTCTACTTGAGGGGTTTATCGCATGATTTAAAGGATATATTGAGGTCATCACTGGAATAACATTGCTTATTTCAATAAAAATGCCAGTTCTTGACTAAAAGAGTCGTATGTTGTTGTCTGAAAGAGAGCTTTCGAGATAATTTACAGAAATATTCAGATTATTCGGGCACCTTTGTAAGCTATGCCCGCATTTCTATCAAATCTATGCGCCCAATGAGAATAAAGTTCTCATAAATAAAACGCAGATTTTGCCTTTTCCCGCCATTTTTGAGGTACGTAAAAATTATCCCTGACCCCTGTTTCTACCATAAAGTAATTTTTACAAAGTTCATGTCCAATTTTTTAGCTCAAACAAATTCTGTATCACAAAGTCTGAATCTGTGTGAGGCTTGGGCCTGTGGTCTGTATCAACACATTCATTTGCGTCTGGATGACGGCACGTCCTCCCTCAAATGATAAAATTAATAGAAAATTTCATAAAATATAATCTTTAGTTAATTAGAATTATTTTCTGATAGAATTCATCGTATCTTTCAGTCGCCTGAAGCTAATTTACAAGCTTCTTAAAGGAAATTGTTGTCTTGTTAATATGGAGATTGCGGGATCAAATCTAGCTTAAATTAGAGGGATAGCGTTAGACAGTACATGGCTGGGTGTGCCATAAACTAACTCGGGTTCTAGTAAGAAAGCGTGATCAAACCTTTCGCAAGATCTTATTTAATTATTTGTCATCGAGAGATGCGCTGTCGCAAAAACCTTTTGGCCCAAGACCGATCGCAAGTGATATCTTTTCTATCAGTAAGGCTAACCTCTGCCAAGTTGTGGGGCTTTTAGCAGGCTATTGCACTACTAGTGTCAAAGAATTAAGGCTGGTAATCTTACCAGACACCAACTGCAGAAGCTGTATGGAAGAAGATGAGGTGGATACAACTCAAACACTTGGAGCGCATACCTTCAGACATACCATCGAACTGGCAGGAGTGGAAATTAAGCGCCTGTGCAAATGTGTATTGGCTACTAAGCGTTTTGCTAATTTATAAGCTCGAACACAGAAAAGAAGAACTTTCTATGGCCTCACATAGGACTGCATATAGTAGTTCACGTGCGATCTTTGATCAGCCATCTAAGCTAGCATATTTGCCAACGAAATTCTTACCAGAATTCAACTGCAAACATTAACAACTAGTGCGGATCTTTGGCTAACTGTTTACAAAATTAGTTATTATAGCTTATCATTAGCGATATCAGCTATTGTAAGCCATTAAAAATAAACAAATAATTTCCATATTAGAGGAATTGCTCTTTCGATTTAACTTTACGCAAGTCATTTAATTATGTGAGTGTGACCATTGCCTATCCCACAAATAACGTACCTTTCGTACTTCGAACTCAATTTCGATACAAATTTGACTGGAATTAATGGCAAACTTATCAGCGCTACCGGTGTAATTCACAGAAACACACATTTATAGAAAGTCTACCAATAGGGGTGATGCGGTGGCGGCCATATTTGTTTACGGATTTGTAGCAAATTTTGTCAGTATGTTCGGTAAGGTATACTATTTCTTCGTGTCACATTTCACTCCCATACAACAATTGCAAATTTTCTAAGATTATTAGGAAATAGGATATATTAGCCATGCAAACTAACAAAAATTCGGTTCTAGTATGAAACACTTTTTTATTTGACAAAATATTTTCAAAAAATGTAGCCCCTATTATTATTTAAAGCAGCGCTACAATATCAGCACTAGCTGTGCAGATCGAATCAATACAGAATATAGCTGCCATACAAACCGATCGATCAAATCAAGTTCTATTTTGAACAACTTTTTTAATTGTTAGGATATCTTAATGAAATTTGGCACATATTACTATCGAAGGCACCCCTACAATCTCGGAAGAAACTGTCTCAATCGAACCACTATCCCACTTAGCTGTTGGCACATATTACTATCGAAGCACCCCTACAATCTCGGAAGAAACTGTCTCAATCGAACCACTATACCACTTAGCTGTCATACAAACTTATCGAAAAACTGGGCAAACAGATGGTATTATAGCTTCGATGCAGCCAAAGTCGAAGTTTTTTTTTTGTTTTTTTTTGTTTATTTACAGTTATAGTTTGACACACCCACTAACACGCACCTTTGTCTCTGTACCGACGCCGGCTCGTCCTCAATTTTGATGGTCTGCGCTGCGTTATTTTTGCCGCTCATTATTTGTACGTAATTTAGACACACAAACACACATATACAATTGCAGTGGTTAATATTTTTTTCACTTTCGGCTTTTTGGCTCTTAGGTTCACATGCACGTCTGGCCTACTTAGCAGCGCTTAGAAAACTACTTAAGCTGCTTTCGAGATGAAACACGCCCAGTTAGCGACATAAAGATATATACTAGCGTTATAATAAAAAAAATTCAGTATTTATGGTTGTGTGCATATACCATACATACATATGTATATGCAAGTGTGTGTTCGAGCTTCACTTCAAAATTTTTGATCAAAAAAATTTGGTAAAAATACAGACGTTACATCAGTCTGCCATAAATATTTTGTTTACCTGCACACAAGCGTACGAACATATTAATCTGTGCATGTGTGCGTGAAAAGCGTTGAAAGCAAATGTATGTATGTATGTGTGTGGTGTTTATCAATCGCGCGATATGCAATCTTTCATATAAATTTCGCGTCGTTGTGGTCGATTTCGGTAGCACTTCCATCAATTGGGCGCTAGTTATTGTTGTTGCGTTGACGGTATCTAATCGACAGCCGCGGTGGCTAATTGGCTATTTAAAGGTCGATAATGGTTGATTTACAGGCGCAGATGTGTCTTTGTGTGTCATGTATGCGAATAGCGTTATATTTGTTTTTATTTGCGTGTTTTTTTTATTTTTATTTTTGCTGAATTAAATGTATTTGA